TTTCTTGGCTGCTGAGTGCATCATAACATCACATAGAAAGTCCTCCTTAGCTCTTCTTGGCTGCTTTCTAATTCTGCACAGCCATTCAGCCGCCGATAACAAAGAGGGAGGCTGGGCTCCGAAGGTTCTCTCTGTGATTGTGAAGTTTAAATGCAATATTTTACAGAAGCAGTATTGTTTGCAACACACAGAACACTGATTCAGTGATTTAAAACACAGCCAGTACTCACACACCTGTCACTAACTGGCTGACCCCAGGCAAGCACACATGAGCCACAAGACCTCCAAAATGATAAGTAGCCGCAGGGGCAGGGTAAATCACTCTTCCCAGACCCTGCTGTACACTGGGCATGTGGCTTTTGGGGAGAGCCAGCACTGTGGGGGGGGGCTTGATAATCATTCCTCTCCCCACACTTTCCACAGGATGTGTTCATTATGGAACACATTGCGGGGAGGGATAGCTCAGTGGCAATTCAACAAAAAAACTTCAAAAACAGACTCCAACGAGAAACTGCAGAACTGGAATTAATTTGCAAACTGGATACCATCAAATTAGGCCTGAATAAAGACTGGGAGTGGATGAGTCACTATAAAAAGTAATTTTCCCCTCTGCTGATATTCACACCTTCTTGTCAACTGTTGGAAATGGGCAATGTCCACTTTGATTACGTTGGCCTCGTTAGCACTACAAAAGTAATTTTCCTCCTTTGATATTCATCCCTTCTTGTCAACTGTTGAGATTAGGTCACTTCCACCTTAATTGAATTGGCCTCGTTAGCACTGACCCCCCACTTGGTAAGGCAACTCCCATCTTTTCATGTGCTGTAATATTTATACTGCTTTCTGTATTTTTCACTCCATGAGTCCGATGAAGTGGGTTTTAGCCCACAAAAGCTTATGCCCAAATAAATTTGTTAGTCTCTAAAGTGCCACAAGGACTCCTCGTGTTTTTTTCATCAACTGGGAGAATATTGTGTGACTCTGTATGCAGGGATGGTTAGCTATTAGTGCTGCCAGGTGGACTCTTAAAGGAGCTTATACACAATTCCAAGCTCTTTAGTGACAGATAGTCCAAGTCTCCAAAAATTATAATTGGTGTTGGCCCCAAATAGTGAACAGTTTCCATTTGGTAGAATGTGTAAGTTTGGTAGAATACTTCCTTACGATGAATTAATATATTTTGGACCTCTGAAGAAGATTGGAGGTTAGCCAGCTGGCATCCATGTGTAATGAAGGAGATGTACAGTACCTCCTTCTGGAAGAAGTAGTAAATGTAGTAGAGGATGGATGGATAGATTTATGTGTTCCAAAGCCACAAGGGACCATCTAGTCTGACTCCCTGTATAACACAGGCCATAGAACTTCCCCAAAATAATTGCTAGACCAGATTTTAGAAAAACATCCAATCTAGATTTTAAAATTATCAGTGATGGAGAATCCACCACAACCCTTAGTAAGTTTTCCAATGGTTAATTACTACTCTCATGCAGTACATGTGAAAAAATTTACACCGTATTTCCTGTCTGAATTTGTCTGTTACAGAGTGGCTGGCCCCTGTGATTAAAAATAGGCCCAGTGCCCCTCTGTCAGAGCAGGTGCTCCCAGTTGAGCCAATTAATGCAGAAGGGCAGCACCTGGGCTATAAAGGGTCAGAGAACATTCAGTGAGGGCAAAACTGCAGCTATCCTGCAAAGGCCCCCAAAGAAGAGTATTGATGCTGGGGAAGAAGACCCATCTCAAGGCTGGGTGGGAGATTTGTGGGGCTTTTCTTGGGGAAGGGGGGGTTGGAGCTTTGCAAATAAAGAAACCTGACCCCAAGGAGGGTTGTGATTGAATGAGAGAGACTATATGGGTTTTGTTTAGGGAACCCTAAATTAGGGGAAAGCTACGGTGGGGCACGCTGGCCACAAGGAGTTGCTCAGGTGCCAGCCATCATGTTACAGTCTAGCTTCAACTTCTAGCCCTTGGATGGTGTTATACCATTTGCTGCTAGCTTGAAGAGCCCATTATTAAATATTTGTTCCCTCATGTGGATACTTACAGACAGTAATCAAGTCACCCCTTAACCTTTTTTTTTTTTTAAGCTAAATAGCCTCAAGGAGCTCAATCTATCACCATAAACACAGGTTTTCTAACCCTTTAATCATTCTCTTCTCTGAACCCTCTCCAATTTATCAACATCACTCTTGAATTGTGGGCACTAGGGCTAGACACGTTATGCTAGCAGCAGATGCACCAGCGCCAAATATAGAGGTAAAATAACTTCTCTACTCCGACTTGAGATTCCTGTTTATGCATTCCACAATCAAATTAGCTCTTTTGGCCACAGCATCACACAGGGATCTTATGTTCAGCTGATTATCCACCACAAACTATCAAATCCAAGAACCAGAATTGCATTGGCCAAGCCAGTAGTGGTGCTACATGATCATCGTGACTGAGCTCTGTTAGAACCCATGATATCAAAGCACTTAGCAGGTAAGCATATATCATCCCTGGAGTACAGACATGTAGGAAGGCATCTGACAGGGAACCAGAACTTTGACACACGCACCCCCTGCAGCAAAATGTGTATGGGCGACTATACCTCATATGATGGTGTCTTTGACTGATTACTTGTGGTTGGTTGCAAATTGCCTGCTAAGGTGGTCTGCAAGGACTAGGTCTGCAAACCTAGTAAGTGGAAAGCTCCTGGAGTAATTTCATGGTGAATAAGTGAGGTTTTTACCCACGAAAGCTTATGCCCAAATAAATCTGTTAGTCTTTAAGGTGCCACCAGACTCCTTGTTGTTTACATCAGTTCCTGAAACTCTCAGCTTTTTGACATGGAGAGGGGGAGGGAAGGAATAAGAAATATCAGCAGGCAGTGTTGAGCATGATCTAACACATTACTGAGGCATTGACTGTCCTGATCTGTCCATCCCTTCATTACAGAATGGAATGCTGCGAATGCCTGATAAATAGCTCCCAAACTCCAGCATGCTTATTTCAAGGCAGACTTCCTGGGAAGTCAAGACTGTGGGTTTGGAGATGGCCTAAGGGGGCTCCCTAGGAGAATGTGGAAGCATGTCAGCGGCAGCCTGATGGCAACAGTAGAAAAAAAGAAGGGTACCCTCCTTGCATACCTTTAGAGAATTCTTCCACAAGTTCAATTGTTATCTGTATAAGCGTAGCATCTAGAAGTCCTAGTCATGGAGCAGGACCCCACTGTACAAACATAACAAAGATGGTCCCTGTCTCCAAATGAAAATTGGGGAATCTGGTTTCTTTTCATCTAGATGTATGTTAGGCAGAGATTTTAACCACTCGCTGCCTAAAGCAGGTGAAGTCTGGCATGTTGTGTTACGTAAACACAGGAAGCCACATGCCCTACAAGTCAGAGACAGGCTCTCATGATATTTGTGGATGGGTCTATAACTAGTTGAGATCCACTATGGGGAATGGCCATAGTGAACCCCTAGGTCTATTAAAATAAAATGTGCTCCAGATTCCCTACTGGAGGCAAAGGAATTAAATGAGAGAGACCTTGAAGAGCAATTAGGTGATATCTCCCTGCTATCCTCAGAGGCTGAAAATGAATATTCCACCTCTAAAAGTGGAGTTTACTTAACAGGAGCTCCAGGCAAAACCAGTCTCTGTACTACTACTGCATGGTATTAGTGGCCAGTACCATGAAGGGTATTTTCACCACAGAGGAGAGGTGATTTGGGTAGAGCTTGCACTGCAAGATCATGTGACACCATAAAAGCTTTCGGTACTGGGATTGAGGATACCCAGGAGAGCTGGATGGAGGCCATTGGTACTGATGTGGTGGGCTGAGCTTCAGTACTGAGGAACCGTCACCAGGTAAGAGAGCCCAACCTGAGGGGATACTGGAGCACAGTGAGAATGTCAGTAGGATGCATTCTGGGCCTTGAGCTACCCTTTAAAGAGGAAGGATGAGGAGATATCTTTTTCCTATTAGGACCCCATGAGGGTGACCTAGTTTTATACTCCACAGAGGGGGGAAAAAAAGGGCCTCAAGACATCACAAGTTAACGTCAAACAAAAGTTAATTCTGTCAAGAGTGAAAGTCTTTCAGCAAAATGTTCTCCCCCTATCTGGCAAGATAGGAGCCACACAGGTGGGCATAGCCACAGATGAGAAAGTAAAAAACCATTTCTCAGACTCACTGTTTGAACATAAGAGTTTATTAACAAGATCATTAGCCTTCAACAATGTGACCCCAAGACTAATATGGTATTGGAGACAAAGGAACAAGCAGGATCTTTCACAGGCAAGACACCACCACCATGTTGGTAACCATCGCTGAAAAAGGAAAAACATGTCAACATTTCCTGAAGTGTCTCCTTTTCAGAGGCAGAAAGAAAGTAGAAACTACTTGGAATCATGATCAATGTTCTCTCTCTTGTCCTCTGAGCATGGAAGTTGAAGAGTCCCAACCCTGCTTTACACCATCAGTATGAAGTTCCCTCAAAATATCCAGCTTAGGAAATGGAGTTCAGTTTCTTTTAACTGGATCTGAGTTTTAAAAAGGGCGGGAGGGAAGAAACATTTCACAAGAGAGAGAGTTCCTCTGCAGTGGCACTAAGGCAGTATTTTACATAATATAAACATATATAATATACAGTTATGTACATTGCTACAAGTACAAAAGGGAAAACTGCATTTAGACTTGTCATAAGAAAATAGTGAGCTGTTAGCAATGCCCCTAGGGTGCTCAAAGCATCCATAAAACATGAACTTCAGCACTAAATCTTCCAGCTGCAGTGGGAGAATGTCCTACAGACTGGTACAAAGGAAAGCATCCTCAGGAGGTTTCATACTGAAAGCAAAATCTAAGGGGTCAATTAGGCCAGTCTGTCACAGACCCTCAAAACCAGTATAAATAGACTCCACCACAGAGGACCCAGCAGGTTCCTTAAAGTCCCCAAGTCAATATATACAATACCTTAGAAAGGTGTGTGTGTATGAATGTATGTGTTTATACACACAGGGTGTTCCTCATTATACACTGCAGCGGGAGGTCAGGAATCACTTCTAAGTGAAGAAGCACTGCTAAGTGCCATAATGAAATAAGAAAGGCAGCAGTGTTTGCAGCTTAGTTGAAGCAGACATTCCAGTACGAGGAAGTTGATAGTGAACAGTGACATTGCACAGGATACAAACTCAGCAGCATCACACCACACAAGTTTGGCAGGGACATCCAGGTTCAGTGCACTGTTGAATAAGGTCAGTTCAACCATTCTCTCTCTGTCCTTGTTTTCCTAAGGTGATGTCAGTATCAAAATGTAATACGGCTAATGGCTCTGTCTACAGTACTTCTTCCCCTAGACAGAGGTGTCAGAGGCAGGGCCTGCTATACTCTGCTTTCCTGGTCTGGACAACCAGAAGAATCCATATGAACCAGTCTGTTACACCTGAACATTCCCTGACTTGGTTTGGGAGACCTGAGAAACACGATTGATGCTGCTTTCGATGAAGAGTTTCAGGCCTTGTAACCCCTGCACGTAGAGATATTCCAGATACCAGTTCCACCGCCTCCCCTATAGAAACAGAAATAGGGCAGTTAAGTGTCTGGGGCCATAGATGCAGTTGTGGCCTCCTTTTGCCTTAACCTGGAAATATGGAAATACAGACAGTAAAAGCCTGAATACACCTGCCCTGCCACATGATTATGCACCGGCACAAAGATTACATCCCACCCCAGGCTCATGCCTCATAGGATCTGACACTGAGCCTTTTACCTATAGGTCACCATTTCAAATCTGGCCTACCCTGATAGTGATCTCAAGTCATTACCATTTGGTAACTACTCAGGACCTACATAAATCTCATTTCTGGTAGACAGAAGCCCACTAGTTGTCTCCTTGGCAGGTCCAGCGAAGTGGCTGAGGATTGAATGAGCCATAAAACTGAACTCCCCATCCCACAATGAGAAGTTACCCTAGTTCAGCTTTGAGGTACATTGACAGGGCAGCACAAGGGGAAGCTTGAACGGTCACTGCCCAGGCTGACCCTATTCAGTGGAGGATTTCTGTCTCTAGCACCGTTCACGTTCACTTTAGCAGTACATTCACTTTAAAATTAAAGAAAAGAATATACCACTACCCCAGAAAGTGAACGCTATTTAGACTGATATTGGAAATTCTGACAAGCTTAATCCATTTGTGAGAGAAGAATTTTCCCAGGAGCAAATTCTCCAATAGTTAAGAGGTAACTAGAACTTCTTGACCTAGAATAAATGCAGCCTCAGGACAGAGGCATGTAACAGTCTCAGTCCACTGGCTGTACATGGCTGCTACACCAAAATGCTCCCAGACCAAAGTACACTGCTCTAGTCATCAGGTAACACAATGTGCTGTCCTCGTTGTGAACAGCTGGAACTTTGTAGTGGACACAACTGAAGCAAGCTTCTCTGGGTCCACAAGTGAGTCTTCATCTTTGATTGAGTTCTCATGTGTCATGACCAGATGAGAGCATAAACCCTCCTTTTGAGCTCCTTATTCTTCTCCTGGAGATGGTATTTTTGAAGATGTATTTATATTACTAACCTATAGCTAAATACAGCCAGTTTTCACATAATATTTAAAAATAGAACACATTACCTTAATTAAGTTGAAGTTCAGGGTTTTATCTTCTGGCCAAGCCTTGTGGGGGAAAAAAAATATATTAAGTAAACAGAAGTCAGATCAGATAAAACCCTCTGTCCTGAGTTGCCGGGCCTCAGCCCTGCTGAGTCCCCTTAAGACAGGAGCTCCATGAGTGCAAGGAAGCTATGGCAATTGTGAATATGCTGTAGCATATTCTCCTGACACCAGTCCATAAATAGCAAGGTATCATGGAAAGTACTCTACCAGAAGTCAATACTTCTGGACAGAAACAAGTAATATTTATAAACTTATTGAATTCCTGTGCCTCAAAGGCTAAGGAACCACCATCTCAACACTATCAAAGGGAGCAAGAGTAGAGAACCCTATGAGGCTTAGTTTATTACCTCACTATTTCAGGGACTCTTCTCTGAATCTGCTACAGAGCAGCACCCTCTGGTGCTCTGGAAAGATTTACTCAACAATGGAGCATGTTTTCGGGAAAAGCAGGCACTGTATACAAGAACTTTTCCTCTCCTTTGTTTTCCTAACAATCTTTAAACCGGTTTGTGGTTCCCATGTAGAGAACAGTCAGTACTTCAGGATGAGGAATGCTGGCACTGCCCATCAGCAATGTCTTCTACAGGTGTGGGGAGGTGTAAGAGGACCTCGGGAGAAAGATGGAAGGAAAAGAACTTGACAAAGAAAGTCTTGCTATAATGCTGGAGAAGTCAGAATTCCCTTCTCCCAATTTTTGTTTATCATGTAAAAGCATTTTTAAGGACATAAGGAAAATCCCTTCAAAGTTCAGTTAAGTGAACAAACAGCACAGTTACATTTTGTAATTAGAGCAACTGGGTGGTGCAAGGTAACATGCTGTGGTCTTGGAATCTAAGCGGCTATTCTTGGGGGAATTCTGTGCCACTGCGCAAGAACAGAATTAATGTCCCCTGCAGATTTTACTCTTTCTTCAGAGAACATTTGATTCATGCATCCCTCCCAGGTAGCGGTTGGGGGTGGGGTGGGGCAGGGCACATCTGGTTCGGGCATTGAGAAAAGCTGAGAGACACTTAAATCACCACTTTGGGGGTGGTGCTGGCTCTCTGTCCCTCTCGCGGTGCACCCAGAGCCCCGTCGGTGGCTCCTACGCTGCGCTGGGCTCCAGCTGCTAGTCGCAGCTGGGCTGGGAAGAGGGGCAGTATACAGGACTTTTTTCCCCTGAACAGGCCGCTCCCAGGGCCGGATCAGACCCATCCCCAGGTCTGCAGGAAGCTCCACACACCCCCTGCTTCCTGCTCCTATCATGCCCTGGGCGAGGGGCCACTGTGCAAGGAGCTGCCCTCCCATCTGCCACCCAGTACCCAGACTCCCCTGCCGAGCCCCACCCCTCTCTATTCAGACCCCCACCCCACTGAGCTCCCACAAGCTGCACCAGGACCCCCGCCCCACCAACTGCACTTAGATCCCCACTCCACTCAGACTCCCCACCGAGCCTCACTCCCCCAGCACCGGGACCACTCCACTGAGCCCCCTGTACCCAGACCCTCTGCCATACCCCATCCCTCCCATACACCCCTGCTGAGCCCCAACCACCTTCACCTGGATCCCCCCAGCAAAGTCCCATTCCCCCTGCTCCCAATGAGCCCCTGTGCATCCAGATCCCCCCCACTGAGACACCCATACCCAGGTTACCCCACACCTGGATCCACCCACACTAGGATCCTGCTGGGCTGAGCCTGCTTGCCCTACATCTGGATCAGGGGGGTAGGGCTGGGCATATGTGCAAGACACTGTCCCCTCTCGCTCACTGTGGAGCCACAGAGATGTACTAATATTCTTAGCAAGGAAATTATTTGTCAAAAACATTTCCTGAATCTTTTTTGTTGACTGTATTGTTACAGACATAGTTGCTGATAGGTATTTGAAATAAATTACCAAAATAATTGAAAATGATGTGATTATATTGTGTTATGTTGACAAATAAAATATTGTGCCCAGAATTTTTAATATTTTTGGCATAGAATTCCCTCAGGAGTATAAGCTGCACCCCTGCACTGAAAGTTCAAGGGTAGGATAGAGCTTGGCAGTTTTCAGAGAATGCATGTTGTGCATATCCCTTACTCTGTTTGCATTCTGTTTGCATGGGCTCCTTTTGGAAATTCTGTCCTGAGACCAAAGACTTCTGGTTTAAGGGCAATGTTTTAAAGTGTTCTAAAACACACCTGTAGACTTTGATTTTACGTTAGAAGTACGGTCAAGGAAATTAGCAATGAGTGACTAGAGAGGAAAGGTGAAATACAGTTAGGATGATGTAATGATGTTTCCTAAACAATGGAATTGAAGGCTTGCCTACAATTGAAAGTTAACTTGGATTAAGGTCAAGAGTGAATTTGAAGCAAAACAGCCAGCTCCAAGTGTACAAGTATCGGGGGGTAGCCATGTAAGTCTGTATCCACAAAAACGACAAGGAGTCCGGTGGCACCTTAAAGGCCTGGTCTACACTGTGTGTGTGTGTGTGGGGGGGGGGGGGGTGTCGATGTAAGATACGCAACTTCAGCTACGGGAATACCGTAGCTGAAGTCGACATATCTTATTCCGACTTACCTCCCGTCCTCACGGCGCGGGATCGACGGCTGCGGCTCCCCTGTCGACTCCGCTACCGCCGCTCGCTCTGGTGGAGTTCCGGAGTCGACAGGGAGCGCGTTCGGGTATTGATCGCTACCCGCCGATACGGCGGGTAGTCTGGACGTACCATAAGACTAAGATTTATTTGGGCATAAGCTTTCGTGGGTAAAAAACCTCACTTCTTCAGATGCAAGTGTAGACATTTATTTGAGAATAAGCCACTCTCCCTGCCCCACAGGTGAGCACTGACGTTAGACCTCTGAAAACCAGAAATACAAAGTTAAGATACATGCCACCCCCACAATGTGACCTTAGCTCAAAGATGGCAGAGTAAGGTCCCAGCATGCCAATAATACACATACTAGTACTTCCCTTACAGATGCTGCAAAACCCTTTGGCAAGACAGCACATGAGCACCAAGTCTAAACACCTGTTTGCTGTGGCAAAACTCACAGGAGTAGCAAACAGGACCTACTTACACTTGGCCTACACTCAAACACTGAGGGTACGTCTACACTGCAGTTAAAAACCCACGGCTGTCCAGTGCCAGCTGACTGGGGTTCACGGGGCTCGGGCTAAGGGACTGTTTTATTGCATTGTAGACGTTCCAGCTCAGGCTGCAGCCCAAGCTCTGGGACTCTATCTCAGAGCCCTAGAGTCTGGGCTCCAGCCAGAGCGTCTACACTGCAGTTAAACAGCCCCTTAGCCTGAGCCCCGCAAACCCAAATCAGCTGGCATGGTACAGCCGCGGGTGTCTAACTGCAGTGTAGGCATACCCTGAGCTGACTCTACACAAGCCACCCCAGATTTGCTAAACGTTACCCCCCTTTCACCTATGTCCTGAGGATTCCTTCTGAGACATTGCCTTCATTTCCTCCTCATTAAGCCCTAAAGACCACTGTTATGTATGCCACAGAATGCTGACCATCCCCAAACCAAGATGACACCTATGCACACCTCTGCAGACACACCGTACAAAACTCAGTGCTGAAATGGGGCATACTTCATCCTTCCAAGTACACATGCATCTCATCATATCACAACAGAACCTGCTCCAACTTATTCCTCCCTCATTCAATACAGCTATAAGTAACACAACGAAGGCATTTGGAGGGCATGCAGATAAATGCTGGAATTCAAATCTGTGGAGACCACCACAAACTCCTATAGAACAGCCTCTTCTCTATTAATTATGCTGCCTTCCCTGCTAATTGAACTATTGCCAGTAGTTAGTGCCAGCTCCAGGTGACAGTTAAGGTTGTGTTGCGGGGGGGCATGTATCTTAGTTTTGCATTTCCCTGGTTTTCAAGAGGTTTACGTTTAGCCACTCTCCACATTCTAGAAGGGCACAAGGCATCACTGGGCAACCTTAATTCCATGCTTATGAAGTTTTTGGGCATTTAATATTTATCTATATTACTTCTACCCATGCCTCAAAATGATTTGGCCACACTATAATCATGGAGTTTAAAAGCAAAGCATGTTTAAAACCATTGCCTTATGTACTTTTATACCAAGCAAACAACCAAAACTAAACTGTTCAGACTGAGCTGCTGGGCTGAGATGAACACAGAGCACTGGTTTCAGCCCACCTAGCAGAGTACCAACGCTTGAAAAACACAAGTGAACTCAAGCAGTGCGGGGGGGGGGGGGGAAGAGAGAGTTCTCCAGCTGAATTCTCAAGGTGGAGTGACTCATTGGCAGTGCAATAGTGGGGGCCACTCTGAAACACTGCTCACACCCTTACCTGCTGCAGGAAGAGGATAGCATAGCCCATCAGGGCTGGGTGGTGGACAATGTTGAAGCTGTTCCTGACCTCCTGCACTCTGGTTTTCTTCAGTACTTCCGGATCTAGGCGAATGCCCTGAGGGTGGATATCCTTCTGGAATGCACTGGATGTCCACAGACAGCCCACCATGGCCATTATGTACTGGTTGTACTCTTGGTAAGTCTGGCTACTGAACTTGAATTGCAGTATTGTCTGATGGGATCAGAAAACAATTCAGTTGCACAGCACTGGTGCACTACCCTTATTCCTTGCAATTGTGTCATTAAAGCACTGCCTCCCCAACAACTTGTTTATAACCTTTTCATTACCGTCCACAGTACTTTACCGCAAAGGTTTGTTCATGGTACCTTTTTAATCAGCTCATTTTCTTTCGCAGCTACCAAGTTGGTTCGATACCTAAAGGAATGAACAAATGGAAGAGACTTAAGTGCCCTCTGAATTCTAACGCAGATAAATACTAGAGAAGGGCAGGAGTGCTGCTTCAGAACAAGTTAATGGCAGCTTTTATCCTCCATTAGTAAGACTGCTGAGCTTTTCTCCTCCTCCAATTATAAATAAGGCTACATTTTAGTCATGGGTATTTTTAGTAAAAGTCATGGACAGATCACGGGCAGTGTCATGTTATTGACTTGAACTGGGACTATATAGATCATTGTTGCAACCAAAGTCCTGTAGTGGCACCAAATCTTGTATAAAGGGGGTCAAATAGGGTGTCTAAGACAAGGTTATGGTTTGCTGGTTATGCTATCTGTAAATGTGTATCATTTTTGTAGTTGAAGTTATGAATATTGGCTCTGTACTGTCTGTATTTCAAATCTCTGCTATGCTTCTGGGTGACACCCCAGACAAGTTGGTGTCAGCTCTACCTAGCCTGCTTAATGGCCCATTAAGGACCATCAGCTATACAACTGACCCATTGAGAGAAGGCAGATACGCCTTGTAACTCAAAGTATGCAGGGACTTCCCATGTGACTCCAGTTTGCTCTAATTTTCCACATTAAGGACAAAGAGGTGTTCTTACACCTGGAAAAGACTATAAAAGGCTGATGCCTCATCTCCATCTGGTCTTCAATCCTGCTTCATACCTCTGGAGGGACTTTGCTACAAACAGAAGCTCTACACAAAGGGCTGAATGACCCATCCCAGCTGGGGATGTACTCCAGAGACTTGATTTGAACCTGCAGTTTATTCTATCACTGCTTCAAGCCTGAACCAAGAACTTTGCCATTACTGTATGTAATTAATTCCATTTAACAGATTCTAGCTCTCATCTATATCTTTTTCCTTTTATAAATAAACCTTTAGATTTTAGATTCTAAAGGATTGGCAACAGCGTGATTTGTGGGTAAGATCTGATTTATATATTGACCTGGGTCTGTGGCTTGGTCCTTTGGGATCGAGAGAACCTCTTTTCTTTTACTGGGGTATTGGTTTTCATAACCATTCGTCCCCATAACGAGTGGCACTGGTGGTAATACTGGGAAACTGGAGTGTCTAAGGGAATTGCTTGGGTGACTTGTGGTTAGCCAGTGGGCCAAAACCAAAGTCCTCTCTGTCTGTCTGGTTTGGTTTGTCTTAGAGGTGGAAAACCCCCAGCCTTGGGCTGTAACTGCCCTGCTTTAAGCAATTTGTCCTGAACTGGCACTCTCAGTTGGGTCCCGCCAGAACCAGCATCGTTACAAGCAGTAAACAAAAATTCATTGCCTGTGGCCTGTCCGTGACTTGTACTATATACTCTTAACTAAAACTTGGGCTGGGGGGCCAAGGGTGCTTGGGGGGGATAGGGGTGGTGGTCTGGGAGTGCCGTGAGTGCTGGTGGCCCGAGATCCCCCCTGGTGCTGGGGGTGAAGGGTTGGTGGGACTGCTAGGTTCCCTGCGCAGCTCCCCTGAAGTGGATGGCATGTCCCTGCATCTCCTAGTGGTAGGGAAGGCCAGGGGGGCACCATGCGCTGCTCCTCCACGAGTACTGGTTTCACAGCTCCCATTGGCTAGGAACCACAGCCAATGGGAGCTGCGGGGTGGTGCCTACAGGCAGGGGCAGTGTGCAGAGCCCCATGGCCTCTCTGCCTACAAGCTGCAGGGACATGCCGGCTGCTTCTGGGGAGCTCCCCCCCCCCCCCCGGTAAGCTCAACCCCTTACCCCAGCCCTGAGCCCCCGCCCATTCCCAAACTGCTGCTGCTGGCCATGAGGCTGCCCAACTCGGAAGTTGCAGAAGTCATGGAGGTCACAGAAAGTCACGGAATCTGTGACCTCTGTGACAGACACGCAGCCTTAATTATAAACACTGACGGAAGGATGAGTTCAAAGGGACTTCACCACTTGGCACAGGGCCAGCCTCTATCCAGGGACTAGGGAGAAGGAAGATACTAAGAGATGAGCTCTCATTCAACTAACAGACTTTGAGGTTCCTTAGTAACAGAGAACATAGGACTGGAAGGGACCTCCTTATTGCATGAGCAATATGTTCCAACCAAATCAGAGACAAAATCACCTTCATATGACTCAACAGGCTATATGCAGTGTGCAGCCCTGAAATCTAGCACAAAAATGCAGTGTGCTTTTAAAAAGGAGCCTTTCATTCAGCGAGTATAGAAAATGGAAGCCACTGGAAGTAATGGAACCTGACAGTTGTTCTGTATAAATAAGCACTAGCTGCTCTTATCTCCTGGAGAGCGCCCTGTCACGTTAATTACCCTGCAGTCTCCTCAGAGAGAAAGCCACATGGACAGCCCTATGCCAGCTGTCAGCAATTGGCTACTTTTCTTATGGGATGCAACCACTGGAACTAACACCACCAAGAACAGCAGCAGTTCAGTAGGTCCTACAGAGAAATGAACAATGCTCTCTCCAGATCTGCAGGCAGCCTCCAGGCCTCCGAGACTCAGAAGCAGCAGAACACCTCATACTCAGCGCTGCCCTAAACTCCTCTTTCTGCAAATCTGAGTCTAATGGTTAGAGCAGAGGTTCTTAATCTTTTTCTTTCTGAGGCCCCCACAACATGCTAAAAAACTCCATGGCCCACCTGTGCCGCAATAACTGGCTTTCTGCATATAAAAGCCAGGGCTGGCATTAGGGGGTAGCAAACAGGGCAACTGCCTGGGGCCCCATGTCACAGGGGCCCCCGCAAAGCTACATTGCTCAGGCTTCAGCTTCAGCCCCGGGTGGCAGGGTTTAGGCACCTGGGCTTCAGCCCCATGCAGTGGGGCTTTGGCTTTCTGCCCTGGGTCCCAGCGAGTCTAATGCTGGCCCTGCTTGGAGGGCCCCCTGAAACCTGCTCGAGGACCCCTGGTTGACAACTACTGGGTTAGAGCACAAGCCTGGGAGTTTGACACTCTAGGCATCAGTCAGGAATTGAACCTATTAGGTGAGTTACTTAAGGTCTCTCAAAGTATTAAAGGAACACCTACCTACCTCAGAGATGGCATCCTGGGGAGGGAGCAGTGACCTGAAACTTGGTTTTATTGTTACTTGGGATAACAATATGGAAAAGGTTGAGAATGTGGAGGAAAAAGTTTGCTAGGGCCTAAACTTTAGTTGGCTCGGGCCTGAACTTTG